TGTGACTGGAGTAATGATGCTAAACATTTAGCTTTGAAATCACAATAAATTAGATTTGAAAATATATTCAAATAGAAAACTGTTATTTTAAATAGCCTAGTAAAAATATTTCAACATTTTACTGTTTTGCTGTACTTTGGATCCAATAAATGCAGGCTTGGTGAACAGAAGAGACTTCTTTAAAACACATTAAAAATCTTACTGTTCAAAAACTGTTGACTGGTGTATAGGCAACTTAAATTTTTCTCTAATATCTAGCTTTTATTTGGCTTAGAAATCAGATAACTGCTGGGCAATAACCAATAATAATGATTTGTTTATATACTACAAATACTTTTTTTATCACTTAAGGCAGAATAGTTTCTATACTGTAATAAATGCTATGTCAGTTAGCACTGCATTGTTCATATACTTTATTTATTACCTGGAGATGACTTGACAAACACAAATAAACCATATATTGTCGCAATCATGTTTAATGTCTTCATGTTTCCAAACGTTTCTGTTTTCTGTGAAAACAACAGTTTTCATACAGCAATAGCTGGACGCTTTTGTGCATTTCCTCGTACGACTTCCTGAGCGAGAGCGCCCTCGGCTTCGAGTATGAATGAAACATACACTGCATGAGTGTTTAGCGCTCCGCGATGTTCATCTCGCCTTATTCTGGGTCCGAATAAAACATCAGATCATGCACAGACTATCTTGTCTCTTTGAATTTAAATCTATATTTATTCACACCAGCTCTTGAAAACCTCTATGCGAACACACTTGCCCGAAAAAGTGCGGGGGACGAATTTACGTGATATTAAAAGTGGGGGGGACACGTCCCCCTCGTACCCCGCGTAATCTACGCCCCTGCTTCAGATTATAAAAAGGTAAGAAAGAGATGGTTCTTTAAAGAACCTTTGACTGAATGGTTCTTTGTGGACCCAAAAATGGTTCTTCTATGGCATCGCTTGAAGAAACTTTTGAAGCACCTTTATTTTTAAGAGTGTACTGCTGGAGCCTCTGCTGTTTTGGAGTGATAGTATCAGTGATAGTGACTGGGTGGGTCTAGTTTCTAAACAGAAATAGCCATTGATGTGTAAATGAGGGCAATCGTGTGTTAATGCGTTGGGGTTTCTGTCATCAGCACACGAGAGAGCAGTTCTATAGATGCTATTTTTGATGTTTTTGTTCTCGTCGTTTTTTTTATTTGACTTAAATTTATTTTTTCATTGTATTTATTTTTTTTGCAGTACAAATTATGCAGTAATATTTCTGGTTTACAAGCACATATTTTAGTATTTATCCAGTATTATTTATATGTAACCAGGCAGCTCATTGCATCTGATAAATATATTTTATACACTATTATAAATTTGTATTTATATTGCATTTTTACTCTACTTTTATTTATTGTATCCAGGACGTAGCAGCTTTGGAAAGTCAACCTCTTCTGGGATTTTCTATCCAAACAGAGACTCCCGAATCTTCCCTGCATTTTAAACTTTATCACAAAGACACTCTGTACTACATCTTCAGAGCGAGCGACAGCCAGATCTGTGACAGGTGAGTGTAATATAAAATACATTTGAAACACTCCATGTTGTTGATATTTTTGCCATTTAAACGTCACACTCATTTTTCTCCTATAGATGGATTGAAGCGATCCAGCAAGCCACGGTCCTCTAACCCTCTCTTCCTCAACCGTTTCCAGATCAGACCATCATACAAACGACACACACACGTACATTAACATGGATTCAAATGAAGGCACGCCGCGTTTGCGTGTGCAGTTGCTACTATGAAGTTGTGCTTACGTTGTTTTAAATGTTGTGAAATGAAAGTTTTTAGTTACGAAATACTTCTCCATAACATATCTGATCATGCATTTGCATAATATACTACACATCCTTTTATTATGCTGTTATATTTATGCTTCACGGCAAATACACTGTAACCAGTCAGTTGCATTTAATAAATGCATTTCAATACAATTTCATTTCGATATGAATGTACAGTCAAACCAAAAATTATTCAGACACCAGATATGGTTTTAGATATTTGTTTACTAGTGGGTGCAGGACACTATAGTTCATTTATGTAAGTGAGGATAGCGAAATAAAGTAAACCGTGACATGTTCTACCCAAGGACACTCTGACCTGACCATGCTTTGCTTAAGTGTTTTTTCTTTAATTGCTAATTCGTATTTTTACACCACAGACTGAACAAAATGAAGCATGGCTTGGTAATTGTTTGACCTAATTTGGTATCATCTAATTAAATTTAACAGCCGACAGCTTTTCAACCGAATGCATTACACACCTTTCTATCAAAGTTATCTGGCATTATCAAGATGAATTTGTTCTGACACAGTTCTTTTTTTATATATATTGTGGTGGGCTACTCTGTTATACAGCTATTTCTTGTGGCCCATCAGTCTAGAGTACCACCCAGCCTTGGGGTTAGTCACCTGAGGTAATGCTCTGGTGACACCTCCAGCAGGACAGGTAGGGGTGAGACTGAGCTCGGTGGGTCAGGGGTCACCCTGCCTACGTCACAAGCTCCTAAGATGGCGTTTTGGTGACGACGGGAGCCGCGAGGACCCCTGCCCTTGTTTACAAGGTCTCTGGAAATACAGCGCGTATAACTGCGCTATAAACATCGGCGCGCTGTTGAACGGAGGAACCGATGGTGATTATTATAACAGCAGCGGCTTTAAATGCGTCTCGGGATGCGCTTACCTAAGGTATCATGTCCTGTTGTTTTTATTTTAAACGATCTTTTAAATTGTTCACTGTTTACCTCTTAGCAGACATCCATATCGTCGGATTCAGGCGCGGTAGAGAGCATAAGACCATGAACGTGTGGTGTACACGTCCCGCGGGTCCGCATTAGAAAGACCGATGCGTGTATATTGCACGTTACCCCACACGGACCCGGGCGGGGGCTGTTCGCGCACCTGCTGAGCAAATGTTGGTTTTTATTTTGCTAACATTTTGAAATGAAACCAAAACACATTTTTAAAACGCGTGTCGTTTCGCAATCTTGATCAAAGACCAGCCCTAATTAATTAGCGCATGCGCATTCGGTCCTCGGGCTCTTAAACTGTTCATCTGTGACTCTTAGTCGTTATTTGTGCAACATTGTTGTTGTCCGAGGCTCAGTAAAACACAATAAGAAACCGAGAAACGGGCGATGATTGTTATTGTACTGTAATTATGACTATTGTGTCAATGTCTTCAAAACACACCATCGAACCGCGCTTCTGCTGAAATGCTGGGGTTTATGCAGTTTTTGCCAATACTGTAAAATAATAATAAACTGTAGTGTATGCTTTAGGACTCGATTTCATTTTTTTTAATTGTTAGTTTGGTTTTTATTTTGCTAACATTTTGAAATGAAACCAAAACACATTTTTAAAACGCGTGTCGTTTCGCAATCTTGATCAAAGACCAGCCCTAATTAATTAGCGCATGCGCATTCGGTCCCCGGGCTCTTAAACTGTTCATCTGTGACTCTTAGTCGTTATTTGTGCAACATTGTTGTTGTCCGAGGCTCAGTAAAACACAATAAGAAACCGAGAAACGGGCGATG